TGGATAACTAACATAAAATAGAGAAGTATTATCTATTATATCATGCATTAAACCTCAAGGAAAGTACACTTTAAAAAGTAGTTAGGGATAACAAGAGTTTAATAAGTGTTCTTTATAACGATAACAAAATATTAGTTCATCTAATAATATAATATAATACGAAGATGTCAACTTTGATTTCGTTATTTTTTGCCTTCAACGTTTATTTCAGTTGGACAATAAGTGTTTTTCACAGAAAATAAATATTTTCTGTTACTTATTTTTTTATGTTCGATATATAAGTAAAAGTTATTAACAAACAATCTTAGATAGATTATAATACTATAAGAGGGGAAGGTGGGGGTAGGGGGTGTTGGGTCGTGGACAGTGGCGGAACTAAAATTTTTAATAAGGGGTTCAAACTCTGAAGAACTAAACACACGAACTAATCGAAGGGGATTTGACATCTACTATATATATATATATATATATATATATATATATATATATATATATATATCTATACATAAAAAATAATCTTAACCATGCATGCATGAATAGTCTATTTTCCGCCGAAGGGGGTTCGAATGAACCCCCTAACAAAGGCTGGCTCCACACCTGGTCGTGGAGACGGAAGGCTATGAGAATTGAGAGGCAAGGTGAAGAACTAAAGATGAAGTGTGTTGGATGATCGAAAAGAGACGATCAATATAAAATGATATTTACTAAATTTCTTTTTTCTATTGTAACTATAAAAATTATTTTCCTTATTTTTAATTATCTACATTTTAAAAATAAAAGAAGCAATTGTATCACGTTATATGCGCTGAAAAGAAAAATTAAATAACTAACAATGTATTTTAGCCGATTATAAAGATTATTTTTTTCTTAGTAATTAGATTGTTACGTTTACTATTTATAGGTTACTTCAATTTTTTTTATTTGATTGGTAAAAATATAACAATATTTTTTACTAGAAAAAAAATGAGAAAAATGATTATGTTAGTTAAAGTTAAGAAAACAAGTCTCGCGAATGATATTTCATATTGGTTGTACCATGTTTAGTATCGTCTAATACACTTCATCTTTATCTCTACGTCTTACTCCTTAGCCCTCCGTCTCCATCACTCTACATTCACCTCCACCTCTCAGTATTTGTCTAGACTATATATATGCAGATATTTTAAGGATAATATATCACTTGCTTATGTATCGAACACAAGAAAATAAGTAAGAATCTAGCTATTTAGTTATTTTCTTGAAAAAAAAAATTCAAATTTTTTTTTTTTCATGAAAAACATCTTCCTTCATACCGTTCACACCGAACACACCCTATGTATGTATGCACTCCCGCTACATGCATCAAGAGGCATGGACGGATTTAGGGCAAAGTAATTCATCTGAATTCCTTTTATCGAAAAATTATATTATTGCATATACAATATGAATTTCTTTATATATATATATATATATATATAATGTAAAATTCTCTTAGCTTATTCATTTCTTTTTTTTTTCTTATATTTTAGATTTTCTTAATAAAAATTCTGACATAACTAAAATCGAATAACTTAGGTTGTATCTTGTTGTATATAGAGTCACACTCAAAACGGGCATAGGGTACTCTTTTGATGGAGCCTTCAATAAGACGTTGTACCTAACAGATCTTTCTGTCTATTTGTTTTTATATTATAAATTACTATATAATAAAATTCAAGAATTAAGTTTTTTTTTTGGTTGTTGGTTTTAATTTACCAAATAATATATATACCCACCACATCCTTCCTACCTAATGAATCATTCCATGTGTAATGTTTTTCCTTCAAGCATATTCTTCCTCTCCTACTCTTTTTTTTTCCAAAATTTCTCATGTCCGATATACGTGTTAAAATTTTGATATTTTGATTTGCATTAATTACCGCAGTGTAATATTCATTAAAAAGGAGTGGGGATAAACGATTTTTATTAAGATTATTTTTTATGCTTAGAACTCAACCTCGAGACATCTGATTAAGAATAAGTTTCTATAAGCAATGTGACGAGCAATAACAGTACTTCTCTTAGATGTTTAACTTGACGAATCAAACACATAAGTTATTACAGACGCATAAAAATAATAATTTTAGAAGCACATAATTTTAGAACGAAATCATTATAGAAGAAAGGTATAAGACTTGGGAATCGAAACATGATAAATAAACTTTAAGCACGCAAATGAATGTCTATTGTCAGTCTCAATCCTTCGGTTATCGAATTAAAATAAGGAGTTTCATGTTCATATTGACACATCACTTTATGCCATTAGATGTATGTTGGTACAAAAAGGGCCGTTTGATCACTACAACATCTATTAAGAAATAATAAAAACTTTATAATTTTACTATATCGCTCCCAATTATATATTACAAGTCATTTAAATATTAAAAAGTGAATAGTATTTCATAGTAAAAATAAAATGGGTATAACATTATAAGTTATATCTTAATTTTTAAATTAAATAATAAAAATAAATTATTTTTTTTTTAAATAATGGACAATTAAAAATAGATGAGTTGAGTACAATAATAATATATCCTGACAAAAACATAAATAGTTGGCTAAATAGTTAGTTGATTGAAACAAAAAGGTGTATATGGAGTTAAATACAGCCAACACAGTACTGTTGTGGGGTTCCACTCTTAATACTCTTGAAAAACAATTAATATTCATTTTCTTGTGTCTCTCTTTTTATTTTATTTTTAAATATTAGGCAAGTAAAAATAAACGGAGGAAATAGTTCTTTAATATAAAAACGTAATTGAAAACAATTACTAATTGTTGTCCCTGTTTTTGTTTAAATGACACTTATTTTACGATGGAGAAAATATTTAGTACTATATTTTATTTTTATTACTATGTCTTAACTATGTTCCAATGATGGTGTTGCATCTTTTTTTCTTGGTAAAGTAAATTATAAAGTTCTAGGTAACAAGAAAACAGCAAAATCTAATGTTAATTAATCTTGTTTAGATACCACTTTAATTATTCCTTGCTATCAAAGTTTGCTTAAGAATCTCACACTTATAATTATCTTTTCTTTACAATATTTTGTCCTTTTCTTTTAAAACATAATCTTGATTAGTAGTCAATCAACATTTGACTTTTTCTAATGATATATATGATATTCATTGACCTAATTAATTCATACTCGTCTCTATGTAAAGACACGTTAAATAGAGATAATATAAGAAGTGTTTGTTACCTCTATATAGAAGTTTCTCTATTTCAATGTTTGCAGGGTCTACTTAGGGGTGACACTCCTAACAGAATTTTCTCTATATTCAAGGTTCAAACTCGAGACCTATGATTAAGAGTGAAGTAATCTCACCACTGTACACAATCTATATTAGTATTTTGTGACCATTTCATTTTTATGGTTTTATATATTTGCTATACTTCCCTAATAATTACATTAATTTAGGAAGCATTTAACATGTGGGACATTGTTATGATTCACCAAAAAAGACATAGTGGCTATATCTATATTTATTTTATTTGGCATGGGTTATATTTTGCTATAATGAAAAAGTTTTCCTTCATTTTCAAGTTACATTAATCATTACGTTCTTAATAATGAGTTGTTGGTTGTACAAATAAATCATCATATAGTAGATATTCAAATAGCTAGGGGCCATTTGGTCCAAAAAACGACAAGTTATGCAAAAATTAATAATACAAAAAAATTATTGTGTTGGAATTGTTTCTTGTATTACTAGAATTTATATTTATAATTCACCTTTAATTATCCAACATAAAATAATATCTAAAAAATCAATATAACTTACACCATTTTTAGTTAATAATGCTAAGTTTTATGTGGAGATTATTTCTCCCAACAATTTTGAGAGAATTTAGTGTACGTAAATATTCATTACCAATATTATGAAAATTTTAGTTTAATCTAGTAAAATAATTCAAACCTCTCTATAATGGTGTTATTTATCTTCTTTTTTTAAATAGCTTTTATAATGAAATATTGTTATAGAGAACATATATTCGATTGGGTCTCTCTATGAATGAAAAAGAGGTGCTTGAGATCAGAAGTAATCACCAGTGATAGGGCAAAAAGACAAAGGAAAAATCGATGCCTACATTGAATTAATTGATTCGTAATGATAGAAAAGAAAAATGGGCATACGAATCGTACTCGAGCCACGTGTTTCAACAAGAACATTGAACATAAAAAAAAAATTGATCTAAAACTTGATTGTTATGATAAAAGTATTGTTATAGAGAATTCAGAGCTTACTATAAATGATCATTTTGTGTCTTAATCAATCAAAATCATAGTCTTGTAAAATAATTGGAACTCATTTTACACAAAAAAAAATTAATTTGTTAAAATAATAAAAAGTTGGCTTTCCAAAGTGGACAAAAGTAAACAATAGTGAACCCATGTTAACAGCAAAAGACATATAATTTGTCTTAGCACCCCCACAAGAATGGGAAAAAACAAAATCAAATGGCCCTTTCTTTTTAGCCATTTGGCGCTAGATTTTTGGGTCAAATTTTTTGAAATTTACAAATTATTTCAAATAAGTGTTTATTTATCAAAATTTCACTCATAAAGTTGAATTGTGTTATCATGTCCAAATTACAATAAGCTCCTCACATAGTTTAGGGGTGTAAATATTACGAAAAAATTGAGTTCAAAATGATAATAGAATTGTCGTATAATTTAGGTGTGTAACTGACAATTTCGCTATAGTTACAAAGCATTCTTATGTCTCATCCCAAGCAAGTTGAAACCGACTATATAAATTATCATCGACCAAATCGTTCCATTAATACAAAAGACAAGAGTGTGTAAAAAAGTAACAATACAACACAAACATTCCAACAAGCTCATTGAACAATGAAACCTCTCATATATTCAAGTAAATAAAGACAGTTTTTGCCTTGTGAGAAAAGAATAGAGCAATCATGGATTTAATCTATTATAATATCTGGAATTCACAAGTGACATGTTCGTTCAGTTATTCATGTGATAAATCCATCTAAAAAATACTTACTAAACCACAACTAGCACAAGTTCTATCATACAACTAAGATATCACCGAAAACGTTGAGATTTTGGTTTGAGAGATCCCCCTGTGGTAGAGGATGTAACTTCCATTGCAGCTTCGAAATGATATAATTCGAGAAAAATGTTCCCCCATGTACCGAAAATATCACTGTAGCAGCAGCTGGATCTATAGCCAGATTCAAAGCACTCAAAGGAAAAGCAAAGAAGCTATTCTTCAGTCCAAAATTTCACTAAAGCTGTGACACATGCCTTCAATAAAGCAAGGAATGGATTTGTTTCACGTTCACCGGATTTTGTTGAAGTGCCTTTCCATGTTTCACTGGAGAAATTAGCAATCAAAAAATAAATTAGTGGGATTCGTGTTGCAGGAATGATGAACTTGTTGACACTCGAACTAGGGAAAAAAGAGACGAGGAAGTGTATTTAGCTTCATCGACGAGAAGTTATCAGTTACTCACAGATGAATTCTGTCTAGTGGAGGATTGACTCCTTTCTGATGGCTGCTACCATGTTGAATGCTGGCTTTGCCTTTATCTTCAACCAACTCATCCGCAGCTGGTTTCTTAGAAGTACCGCTGGCGCTACTGCTACCAACAGTCTCATTAGGCATAGGACCATAAGCATTAACTGTCTGCAAAAGTTTTAACATTTTGAATATAGCATGTTAACATCATAAATAGTCAAAAAGGCGGGCAGAGCCCAGATGTAGACGAGGAGTAACAACCCATTTGCATTTACATTAATCGGACCTTTTTTAGTTGCAACAACAAATTATGCTTGTTAGCTAAAGTTAGCTGCAGATACAAAATACAATAACATAAATATATGAACATCTACCATTGCAAATTTGCAATCATGGCATAAAAGAAAAAGTCTAATGCTATGTAGGAGGTTATGCCAACGCTGTAAATTCTATACAAATATCGGAAAAAGACGGACATTCATATGTTCATGAAAGTAAGCTGAGTTGTATATACATGTGTTCAAGAACTAGCTTGCTTCTAGAAAATTTGTTCCGTCACTGAATGGACTTTCTTTATCAAAGTCGAAGTAACCATAAAAGTTGGAGCATCTTAACCTTCTTAACGACAGTATTGACAGTGCTAGATGCCCAAGAAATGTTGACAAAAATAATCACATCCCTCAGCACTAGCGCATGTCAAATGAGATAAATTCGCAAACTCCAGACTGTGATTGACTAGACTATATTTCCCGTACATTTGTCATCTGTACACCCCAATCCAATAATAAGTGCATTAAAGTTTAAGACAAGCACCAGAGGTGATAAACCTTCAATCAAAAGATTAATTGATAAATATGAAAGAAAAAACAAGGAAAACCTATGTGAAAAAAATTGCTAAAGTTTACTGCTTAAAAAGCTTACCTCACTTACAGTTGATGCGGCCTTAACTCCTACATTAGTGGCAATGGCCACTCTTTCTTCTGAGGAACTTAAAATTTCCAATGATGCCTCTCCAGCTTTCGCCTCTGTTTTCTCGTTCAACAATTTACTCGACTTCTCTGTTGTTGGATCAGCTATCATCACATCAACTGGCTCATTTACAGGTTCTGCAGCTTTTTCCAAAGAGGCTATCCTGTCGTGTTCATGTTCAGTTTCTTCCAATGTTTTTGCTACACTAGTTGTTTCATTTAATCCTGAATCCAAATCATCTATTTTCTTAGAAATGGGTCGCAGGGGAAACTTCTCCACCAGTAATTCTGACGTTTTAAGAGGCATTCCAGCTTTTGATGCTTCTAGTTCATTCAATCCACCTTCAACATCTAGATTCTCTCCTACCACCGACTTTGTAAATATTGGTTCTCCGTATGTTTCATCATTTTTAACTGTAGGAAGACTAGCATCAACCCCAGAGAGGAGACTCACATTCACACTTTCAGAGATGATCTCAGTAGAATCTAAAACTTGTGCACTGGTATTTTGATGCTTGAAAGAGAGGGTGTTGACTGAGTCAGATTTACCAGAGATTTCATTTTCTTCGGTTGTCTCAGAGTCACCAGTCATTTGTTCATTGAGCATCTCATGGTCAACTCCATTAATCCCACTAAAATGCAAAACCTCATCCTTGTTTTTTTGATGATCAGATTCAGAATCAATTATGAATGATTCATCAGACTGTTCAATCCTCTCGGAAACGTCACTTGTGCTAGTTTGTAGTCCATCATCTGCAACCATCACCTCATCTATATCAAGCTGTCTATTCATGCCAAAATCAGCTTCTTCACATTTACCCATGTAATGGTTGGGCGCATAACTTGACATAACATGGGTCTCACCAGACAAAGATAAACTTTGCGGTTCAGTTGATATGGATCCTAGTGGATATTCTTCTGCAAAAATGATATTGTTCTGCTCTTCAGGAGATAACTTAGCTGGACCTAGAACTCTATTTTCCTGAATTATCTCGCGAACTAGTTCTCGTACTGTGTAGAAAGAGCCACCAACTTCCTTGTGCGTCAAATTAAGTGATGGGAAATTCCCATCATTTGACTTCTGATATCTGCAACCATTAAAGCCAAGAGCAAATAAGATGTCATTCTGTCGATCTAACTGCTGGTAAGTAAAGATATAGTGCTCCAAAGAAGATTGAAATTTTTACTTCTTTTTTCTTTGAAAATTTTAAGATCATCGAAATAAACTTCTTAGCACCTTTTGAAGATGTTCACATAGGTAGAGATGACCTAAATAGCAACCTATGAGACAATGATCATAAACATTGAAACTATAGTCACATTTAATGTCTTTACTGTGGACCTAGCTTATTTACTCACAAACTCTCTACCTTTCTTCTTTGTGCTCATCACTGATCAGAATATGCAGTGGCAGCAGATAAAACCTGCAGATATCTGTCCCAACAGAGTATGATTATGTATTCGCATCTGAAGATTTATACACACTAGATGAAGGAAAAGAGGAACACTAACTCAATAAGAGGTTTCCGTTTATGAAACTGGTTAATAAACAATCCAATAATTGTAAGTTTTTTCATGTGCTTAGGATTGTTGGAGGATAATGATCTCCTCTTTGCAGGATTCATGTATCTCACGAGTCACAGGGGACATGAGTTACAAGGGAAATTTTACTCGTGTATTTTTCTACACCTCCACCTCCCCATCCACCCCTTGATATTCTCATTCTTCTTCACCGGGAAATGGGTTTAAGAGGTTATTCTACTCATTTGCCCATTTTTTCCCTCCAGCTCTCTCATTGACCCCTATTTGCTACTGCACTGACCACCCCCACCCCTAAAATCCTCTTTTTCCTCCCACCTTTTTAACTTCATTTTTCATTTCAGATTGTTTTATTCTGTCGGTTTTAGTTTATGCAGTATTTGAGTATTTAACCATACAGGAATACTGTGCATGCCTAATTTGCTAATCTTTAACTACAAATTTCTTTTGATAACCATGGTGTCCCAGGCAGCTTGCGCGTATCTCAACTAATCCCACTGGATACCTATCACCTCCCACCAGTAACACATACCAAGTAACTCTGTCCACCAAAGCTAGGGCAGATGAAAAAAAAAATCAAATATTAACTTAATAGCCTATAGAAATATCATTTCAAGAACCTGCTCTTAGAATTTGGCAAATTTCATACACAGATATAGCTGATCCGTTAGCTAGACCGAAGCATCATAAGAATTTAAAAGAAGATTAGGTTCAATAGTCAATACTACTAGAATTGATGATGTCATGATACAAAGTAACACACATAATGTTCTAAACCTAAACAGATCAGTCCAAATCAAACAGACTTGGCAGAAATTATCATAAAAGCTCGGTTCAAGGAAGAAATGAAAAAAGTCACTTACTTCTTTATAAAAGTTTCAACCATAGACTTCCTCTCTTCTTTCGAACGCCTAATCCTAGTCTTCCGGCCACCAGAGTCATTGCAAGTAGCAAGGGCAAATGTTTGCCCGACCCAACCACCCTTAATTGTGTGCATGTTTAGTTTTCAACTACTCATGTAAAGCTGAAATGCTGAACAACAGAAAATGTTAAGATTCAAGATCAAATATTGAAATTCCACTGCTGAATTTACAAACGATGGAAATAAAATGAAAAGAAGAAAAACTAATTCCATCATATTATTACACACAAAGGCCATATAATTGAATTTCTCATTTGTCTTGATTTACCCCTGTCAAACAAGTTGATAGGGGTATGGTTAATCTTCAATATTGAAATGGTAATGAAGCAATCTCTTTCAATACAAGAAAAAATTCTAAGTGAATTAAATTTTTAAAACGGACACAAAATGATGAACAATATACTCCCTCCACCAACTTCTACTTGTCCACTATACTAAAATAAATGTCTACTTTTAATTGTCCAGACTTAGTTCCTACTTTACCCTTATTATTAACTATAGTCATTTCTCAAAACATTGAATTTATTATATTCAACGAGTGATATAGTAAAATTATTATTCTATTTATTGCTCCTTAATGGGTGTGTCAAGTCAATACTGGACAAGTAAAAATGAACGAAGAGTGCATTTCACCACAATGCAACATGAAGAATCAATATTCCCAGGAATTTTCACTTGTGTTGATGCAATCCGAACAGGTTGTCAAGGGTCCTTCAAAAATATCTAAAAACTCGCTAAAATTCGGGGAAATGCACACACTAATCCATGTACCATAGCATATAAACAGTTCAAACATAAAGAACCCTTCAGAAAAAGTTCATACTTTTGTTCCATCTGTAAATCCAGTTTTTTTTTTTTTCATTTCCAACAATTTAAAAAATAATATCAACAAGAACAGTTAAACTCAACAATTTTTAATTGGAAGTGAAAAAATAAATTACTTAAACAACCAAGATTATCATACAATCATTAAGCTAAACCCCCACCAAAAAAGCTTTCTCTTTTCCTACTCTTTTATCTTCGGAATTCTGATACTCATGGAAAAACTAATCAAAATTGAGCAAAAAAAAAACCCATTACCACAATTCCATAAGCAAACGAATTCCAATTACAGCTAAACAATTTTCAGATGTAAAAGACAAAATAAAATATGGAGATTATAGATTGTGTATACCTGGGTAATGGGTGTTTCTGGAAAATAGAGAAAAAAAAAATGAGGGCTTTTGAGAGTGATAAACCCTACACAGTGAACACTGAGGAGTGAGACGCCATTTTTCTATTGGTCCACATACAGGGCGGGCAGGCTCATTATTTTTTTTATTTGAATTTATTTTTATTTTTTGGGCTTTTTTTTAAGAAAAAAAAGTAAAAAAACTATTAGTTGAGGAGGATAAGTTTTACACAAGTATAAAATACTTAATCGATTTATTTTTACTTGTCCAATATATTCAAAATTGTCTTGAGTCGGGGTCTAAGGTTTGTGTACATATTATCCTTTCCAGACCTCATTGTGTGGATTACATTGGATATGTTGTTGTAGTTTTGAAAATCAAGAGATAATTTACTATATTATATTGATTTTACCCTTGTTGCTAAATATTGTAACTTTTACCAATATTTAGATGACTTATAATAAATACGAGTAATATAGTAATATTATCCTTTTATTTATTGTATCTTAAAGGATGTGTCAAGTCAAATATGGATAAGTAAAGATGGACGAAGCAAATATTACTATTAATATTATTGTTATTACAATATGTTTTAAATATATTTTATTTACTGGGTTGATGATAGGTATGAGCTTAAACGAGAATTGAATATTGATCATTATCCATCCTGGCACTTAAGTTTACATATTTTTTCTGTTCTTTTGAGTACTTTAAGTTGAGTTAGAGGTCAATTGATCAATTTTTAGAGTGATTAAATGGGCTTTGATTTATCAAATTTAAGAAATCAGCAATAAATACATGTTAATTAATTTTTAGTAGAATGCCTACACGTCTTTACATCTCGAACTAGATAACATTTATCATCAAAATCAACAGCAATAAACCAAGTGGTATAACTAAGAAATATATCAAGTCGTGATACCTAATGAGAGGCGAATCCATGTTCTAAAGTCCATTTATTATATGTATACATTCTAAAATTTTCTTCAGTCATATAGATCGTTATAGTCAACTCTATAGGTACTCATAGATCCGCCTAGGTTCATGGTTGAGATTTTTGACAGTCAAAGTTGAAACCTCTACCCTTCCTGCTCCAGCAGAGTAAAACTAATTTTGCATTTGCTCTATTGTATTAAAATGTATATACACAGTCGAAAGAATACAATATTCAGCAGAGGCTCAAGCTCATTTCAAATACTGCAGTAACGGAATCTCCACTAGAGAATGTGCCTCTTAGAACCAGAGAATTGTAACGAGCCCCGCATAAGATTGTCCATTATAAAAGCTTTCAAAAATGCTGGTGAGCCACAGATAACTTACTTACTCTTGCCAAAGAGTAATGCACTCTCTCTCCATATGAATATATGTAGTTAGGTCAGTCTAGTATCTCAGTTTCCGTATGTTGATGCAGTTAGAAAGAATTAAACCACTCGTTTGTTGTTTGGTGTCGTTCTCTTGCATCCATAAGCCCAGAGCAAAAATGAGCTTGGTTGCTGTGTTAGGAGCCAAGTGGTGTTTACAAATGGTGTCAAAAATCTCTTATAGGCCTAGCCAATATGTGTTATCCTCCAAGTGACTTTTGTTTATATCCGTGTTTCATTCTGTCCTGTAGTTTCTCTCTCGTCTTTCTCTTCTTGTCCATTTTTTGCCTGTATCTCTCTTCTCTCTCCCTTTCATATATCCCTTGCCAATATATCTCTCCCGTTAATGGCCACAACCATGTTTCATATGGATGGTAATTGTCATCAGCAGCTTCTGCCAAGTCTTCATCCATACTCTTCAACAACGTCATGTTGAAGTACTTTGCCCACATATATCCTTTTCGCTGCTCAACTGAGTGCTGCTCTTCCACCGCACCTGAGTGAGGATTAATGTAAACCATCTGCCGTGCACTGTGATAGGCCCAGACATTTACCAACAGTTCCAAAACCCGACAGTAACAGTGCTGCTTCTGGTGGTCACAAACAATCAAAACATAAGAACTTATACTTCTAGCCTGCATTACTTTGAAGTTTGTACCAAATGTAAACTAGTACTAATGCAATTTATGTCTATAGGCTAACCTCCATGGTTGAATTTGCCAGTATACAATGTGTCCTATTGCTTGAATTCACGTGCAAACCATCCAGAGCATCAACAAATATCCTGAAATTCAAATAATGTTAATTCAAATAAACAATTCATATTTCAAACTACAATATCCAAATTTATGCAAGTAATACAACACCACACATAAGTATGTTGGTTGCCCTAGATTACCTGGAAAACATAACAAACTCTAGAAAAGAAGAGGTTGGCATAACCCAGCTATGTAGGGCTGACCATTTCCCACCATCTTCAGGCATGGGTGGGAGAGCTTCTATATGTGACGGTAAGCCATACATTATACGAAATGCGTCTTGGAAAGCATTTCTGCAAGAATGTTATAGAATGAGAGTCAGCTGAGAGGAACTTATAAAGGACAATCTCCATTTAACAGCACAACTACACTCGCCCCTCTGCACATAAGGTGAGGATACTAATTAAGAAGAGTAGGGTGTAAAATTTCCAGTTTTTTAGCTCTCTTCTTTTAATATTATACATTCTAGGACACGAATTTCTGAAATCTCCATTTCCAGCTTCTTGGACTTCAGAACATGAATAGTTGAAATAGAATCAACATGAATTTGGAATTTATTATTTTTTTTCAATATAAGTTAAACCTAAATAATGTTATTCATCCAAATTTCTACAAGAGAGATCTAGACTGTTCAAATACAAGAAACCTATCCACCAAAATGGAAAGGAAAATATGTTGGCAGGAATGCATAATTTTGAAATAAATCTATGTTCAAATCCCACTGTACGCAATGTAATATTTACCTACAGTTGCCTCCATTCAATATATCGCACATTGACCAGAAGGTAAGGGCATCATTGCTTCCTGTAAATCCACCATCCACATCCAAATGTGCCCAATAGTATATTACATCACCTTTAACCTTTGCCTGTATTGTTTCTTCTAGGGCCAGCTCAGCATTTTTAGATAAGGAAACCTGATAAGTACAGAATCCTATATGAAACTTGTGTGAATATGCCAAGAAAAGAGTACATAGAAGATAATGTGTGAATATGCCAATGTCAAGTTTAACAAATTACAAGAAGAACTAGTTCACACGTCAAGATTCATCAGGAACTAATAACATACTTTTCTTCCAGTAGCTCGCCATGACTGGAATCCAATCCAGGGCCGTCTATGAATATTATCTAAATGGTTTGCAATTGAAAACATGCCACCCATCTCACAGAGGATATCCCGGTAGTAGGTCTCATTCAAGAGGGTAAGACGGCCAACTGCATCAACATCATCTGATCTCAATCTTCGTGCTTTAGTTGACTATAAGGGAAAATGCCATAGTTAGAGCCAAAGAAACGAGAGATGTAACAGCATGAAGTAAATAAAATTTAAGAGAATGTACTTAATTTGCATTAGCAAATATGTATAGCATATAGCATTGTATTTTTAAAAACTTCATTTATGTACAAAGAGATGCCAAAAAACGAGAGGAAACCATATGAAACTGAAACATATGGAATAAGTCAAAGGAACTCACTAGGCTCAATCCACGGTACAAAGAGCCATGATGCAAAAATGACCAAGCTCCAGTTCCATCATAAACCTCATAAATGCATATTGGTTGCCCAGTCCTTTCCAGCTCTCCTTCATCTCTTTCATTAGTTTCAAACCGAAGCTTTTCAGCTTTTCGAGCATTACGATATATATCATCCCACTTACCAATGTCCTTTTCCATTCTTTCCTCAATCTACATATAGAGAAAATGTGCTCAACAGATCTTGCATCAAAGGGAATTCAAGAAACATGGACTAGTAAAGATCTTTTTTATTTCTTTTTTCCTTCTAGTTCTTTTTGCATTTTGGTTATGGGATTGGATTGGACAGGAAAAGACTACTTTTCAGTAAAAGTTATTCACATACCTCCTCCGACTCGAGTCTATCTACTTCCTCAGAACGCTCCATTTCATTTAAGATGTCCCAATCCAACTCACTTGGAAAGTCTTCCTTTATAGCCTCCGGATCATCTCTCGATACATTCAATGGAACAAAACCTGTCATCTCTAATTCAAGGTCATAAACAACACTGGAATTTATTGGATCCACATCCTTCATTTGAAGATCTTCTATGTCCTTAGGATCCTCTAAATCCTTTTGGAAATAACCCCACTCCCATGAGTCCTGCTTAAGCTGAGAGGTGTCTCCTGGAAGTATGACATCAGATGGGAAAGTTATGACATTCTCCAGCAGCTTTGCATAGCCTGTAATGCATTCCACTGCAAACATGTTCTTGGAAAGCAGCCTCCCAGAAGATGCAATAGTGTGAGCAAATCTCGTTAGTTTTCCATCAGATATAAGTAGTGAGAAATCTTGCACCAATTCATTTGAATTGTGTTGAGAGAAGATGATTCCATGTACTTCATCAACAACCTGAATACAGAAAGTTATTCCAGGAAATACAAATTAGTATTCTACTTTTCAGCTTAAAAAGGTTGCCAACAACACTTGATTGACTTACATATTTCTTAATGACAGGGTAGTCTGGCGCGACAATTGGTATTCCAAACGACATAGCTCGTATCAGAATAGGAGGAAATTCTTGCTCATATTGGGGGGAGAAGTAGAGGACAATGTCAGCAATCAGTGTAATACCGTTAACATCACCCTTCATATCATGGTGTGAGAGAGATCCCTCATGAAGTCCTAGACGAGTAGCAATATCCTACAAATTTTGAGACAGTTTTAAATTTTATTGCATAGATAATTGTAAGTAAACCACATGTTACTGCTGCTGCAAAATGCTGTGAAGCATTATTCAATATCATTTGAACGTTCATCTCAACCTAACAAATAACACAGTAAAGCACTAGCAAGGAGTGAAGACAATAAAAATTGGAAAACGCATGATGGATGACAGAAGGGTGAAAAGTTTAGGTAGGTAACTAAGACAACAAAGCCCTTTAAAGTATAAAATCAAGAGAAAATGATTCAGAACTTCCTTGTCTAAATGAGTTTCAGTTGTTATGCATAAATATATCAAAAAAGATTTATCCTTTTTCCAATTTAAACAACAAAACTTCTTTTAAGATTGAGATGAAACACTAGCGAAGCAGAGGAAGGCAAAGACAAGCCATCAATTACAAGAACAGAATAAGGAGTAAAATAGGAAGCAGAAATTATGAATTATCTATATTACTATTACATCATTCAAGAATTCTACCTGCAATGCATCATTATACCCATCACTGGAATTTCCTGACATGAAAACGAACTTCAGTCTCTCTTCAACATCACTTCCAGCAAATTTGAGTAGCAAAGGTTCTATATGACGAATGGACAACGCATAATCCCAGGACAGCTCATTGTAGAGAATGGAACTTCCAAAAACTAAAACCAAGAGATCATCTTTGCCAAAACCATATTTCTCCCTTGATTGAGATTTTGAATGTCTCCTACTATAACTGCCAGCAGCCCAATTGTCTTTTGGTGATCCGGGGATCACAAAGAAGTTTTCAGTGTCAAGTCCACTATATAACATCTATAACAGGAGAAATGCCAGGGTTGAGTACATGATAAGATTGATGAGGACTTGAAATAAACCAAAAAATTCTGAAAATATAAAATCAGAACGAGAAACAGAGAAGAATATTGTATATACCGGCAAAGAGTAATCCGGAAATACAATAACATCAGCCCTACGAAAAGAATCTCTCCAATGAGAAATAAGATTTTCCCAGCCCATGTTTTCATAGAGACGAAGGCGACTTGCAAGAGTATCTTGTTGAATCATCCATACAAGGGGGACAGAGCAAAAAGGCTCCTGCATAAGGCTGCATAAATATAGAACTCACAAACCATAATATCTCAAACAAAATGTAGAAATGCAAAGGATTAGTACGAGATCTAGATTCATCTTTGTTACATGGTCTCCCTGTATGTATTGCCGACATACCCATGTCGAGAAGGACTGATATGGCTATGGTACTTTGTAGGCATCATTTAGAGTACATCAAGAATGTAACAATAAAAATTGAACATACTAGTGTTGAATCATCTAATAATAACAAAAAGTCTTGACAGTAGGAGTGAATTATTATAATATCCTACAGCTCTGTTCTTCATTCAAATGTTCTTGCAACACTAGGTTCAAGCATTTTTTTTATGTTGTAAAAGTCAAGCATATGCATAAGTAATGCTTAAAACTCTCGCAAGAGAAATTCAGAATATAGGACAAGGATACTGTAAAGAAAAACTCATTGCCCATACATTTCACATTAAAATAGCTTAAATTTTCAAAATAGAAGACCAACACACATTTTAGTTTGTTATAATAAATAATGCTCACATGACGTTCATGCTGAATCTCCTAGAATAATGAGAAGTAAGCTTCATCCAATAGGCTAGTCATACCTTGATATAGCATTTTTATCTTCAAGTGAATCAGCAATAACACCGTCAAAACTGCATGAATGAAAATGTAGAAACTAATATAAACCAAGCTAATTGAGAGTAACGATAGCAAAGGTACAGAAATGGAGTGTCATGAGGATCCAAGATGGCAGAGCATGCTTACATTGACCAATCAATGAGATCATATCTATCAGCAGTTAAAATTGATACTTTCCCTCCTATTTCTTCCCATATGGATCTCGCAATGCCATCCTCCACAGCATATATCTGCAAAAAAGAGTTTTAAGTAGGGTATAAGATTGCACATACCGATTATACACCACTATCAAACAAGGTGCAGTCCTTCTGTCACAACTTTGATATGGTACCATATTTTCCATTCATCATACTTTAATCCGAAGTACAGATAGAGAACCAACGACTTATAGACAAATTAAAATGTTATAATCAGATGTGTGATGCAATTATCATTTAAAAGATATGGATGGAAAAAAGAAAAGGAATCATAACAAATAAGAATAACCATAACTTAAATAAGAAACTGCAGAGCAAACAGGAAGAACATATGACATTGTAGTTCAAAAAAAAAAACTTGTTTCCACAACCTGCCAGATCAGTCCCCTCCCAGCTCCAAGAGAAGAACCCCCTTCAATTTCCCAGAACCTAAGGTGTATTAATCTCAATGGGCCACGGTGATCCAGTTCTTAACCTGAATTTACCTCTTTGCAACCAAACTTTCACTCAATCTCAAATAAGAAGTTCGTTATATATGAATCTAAAATAGAAATTTCAGGTGAAAAGAATCACTATAGCTGAAATACCATCTTTTGTAGCAGAATTACAATCTGAGTGTAGAATAATTGCAAGTTGCAACACAGATGCTTAAAGTTATTATGTCTTAGACAGTACATATATTGGATACAGCAAGCAGATATTACAACTTGAAGTTACCAAAAATTACCTTAATCATATAGCCTAGTCCCCGTAAGTTCTTCACCACAGTAGATAGCATCAATGACAGTGGGTCCTTCCTCATGTTTCCTAAGACCTTACACAGTCAAATTGAAGCACAGTTAAATTAGTGGAAGCTAAAGAGACCAATGCAATGTGCATTTTGATATAGAAATAGCAGCAGGGAAGATATACTATATTATGAAGGCAACCAAATTAAATGGAGACTTGACTCTCAGAACCAGTCTTTTCTCTATGATTTTAAAAGCAATTGGAAAGGTATAATCCATGTAAAATAAAATCACTGACATCTGCTAAACTGAAAAACTGCAGGAACCAGGTAAAGATCACAGGTCATGAATAATGAGCAAGAGGGGATTGTATATATTCTTAAATATGTCAAAATGTTGTGCTCATATTTTATTCTCACTAATTAACAAATAAAAAGTTACGGCATATCCTCCAAATTCAGACAAACACTAAAATTATAGTTTCAGGCTTGAAAGAGCATTATCCTGCCACTATCACAATTCACACAATGATATGAAATTCTTAAGTTTGAATCATCTCCCAAGCTCAAAGGCTCTAGAATAAACTGCACTTACATGCATCTAGATCCTACAGGTTCAACCAACAAAAAAAATCTACAAGATATTCACTTAGAATTTTACTGAAAAATCGCCCACTCATTAAATTTGAACTTGCTTTCTTCTGCATTTTTATGACGATCGTTCTAACAGCTAAGTTCTATGGAGATTGTATATTACTATTAACCACACATATACAATTCGCATACTTAAACATGAACACAGGTATATAGAATTCTTACTAGCGCAATCCGAGGAGGCCGAACACCAATTCTAGGCTGATTCCTAACCAAGTCCAAACCATTACCAAGCTGAAACCTCCGTGGTTGAACAAACTCCAATGAACTCCCTAACTTCAAATCATCCCTAACAGACCACCTCCAACGAGCTCTCTCATTTTGCCTAAACACCGACATGATTGAACTCTGTAACACCATAGACGCTAACGCAAAAACAAAAATAACCATAAATATACACAAATATAACCATTTCCCTCTGAAACAGAAGAAAATCAGCTTCCTACTAAAAGATCGGTTATGGTGATGGTGATGATGAGATCGTGCCGGAGTTTTCCACTGCCGATCCGGCGAAGAAGAAGAAGACGGCAACGTTACCGTCTCCGTCGGTCTCTGTGAATTTCTCTTGAAACGAAAACGGTCACGGATCGAGTGAAATCCACCGCCGGAGCTTATGGCATTGTTATCATTCTTATCCTTGTTGTCGTCGCCGGAGCTACGGCTCATTGTCATTGTAATCTAATCGGAATTTGTGTGAATTTGTGATTTGAATTCTGTTTTTGGCATTGAAAAGAGTGTGATTTCTGAATCGGAAGAAAATGGCAAATGGCGGAAGAGCAGTAGTAGAAATCTGTTTATATTGTTTTGCTTTACACAGCTTCTACACTCGTTTTTCTCTGTAATCTCACTGTTGATTGTTAATTATTATTAACACTATTTCTAATCCCTTAATTATTGAAAATTTTAATTTCACTCCTTCAACTTATTGATTATACATATTTTGACCTTTAATTACTTTTAAGTATGCTTTTAATCCTTTTACACCTGAAGTATCTTTTTTTTTCAAGTTTTATACCTAAACGATAAGATGCATGAGTTCGTTTACCTGAATTATACCGAAACACACCTCAATTATAAGTTGTTATTTTTTAAAATTTGAAATATCCAGAACACCTTTTTTTTTTTTTTTTTTTTTTTTACCGTGGTTTCCGGGCGTCGCTTTGCGAACCCGACTAGCTGTACCCACCGGGTCCCGCTGTTTCAAGGCGGGTCCACCACGGTTAGTTCCACGGGGCCCTGGAGACGCGGCCGGTTTGTAATGCCTCCAGTGGCCCTGCTGGGGCTCGAACCGGCGACCTGAAGGACTTTGTCCCAGGCCTTTACCAGCTGAGCTACCCTCAGGGTTTTCAGAACACCTAATAGTTTAAGTAGGAAACTTTTAAAAATCAGATATTTCAGGTGTATATTTTGTTCTTTAATTTTTATAAATATTTGTTACAAAATTTTACTCCCTCTTTTTTGTTTGTTATTTTTTGACTTGGTATGGAGTTTAAGAAATTTAAAAAAGACTTTTGAATTATATGTAAAGATATATAAAATGTATCAAAATGCCTTTTAATTTTGGAATTTTTATATATGTCACGTTAAAAATTGAAATTAAAGAGTTACAAAAAAGAATAGGCGTTTTTTAAGTGGACTAAAAAAAACAGGACAAAAAAAATTAAAACTACTTTCATCATTTACATAGTAGTATGTTATATTAAAAATATATTATTACTCAATACTAGAGGGTAATATACTTCTAAAAATAGTTTAAGTTTTACTTATTTTTCACGTAAAAGATTAAAAATATACACTATAATTAATTGAAGATAATAATAGATGAACCAAAATTTATACGTTCAACTGATGATAGAATTAAAATAGTTTTTTTTTTTCTCCAACTTACGTAAGTCCTTATCATTATATTTTTCTATTTTCTATTTTTATTTAAACCTTATCATCAATTTGGAGAGTGTTTCAATTAAGACACATTTTTTTTATTTAGATTATCAAGATCGACTAAATAAGAGTGTGATTGACATAATAAAAGAAAAGGCAAATTAATAAATGGAATGAATTATATATTAATAGGAGAGACCACAAATACTAGTAATATTTCTTTATTTACTTGTTGTATATTTCTAATTTTATTTTTAAAAATTGTGTTTGAAAATCAACGTGATGAGATGATCTGTGGGCTCTACGTGCTTTGCCTGCAGGAAAATAATGGAAGAATTATTTTATTATTAAAAAAGTTAAATAATCGATATAAATATTTTATTATACATAAATAAATATTTATGATGTCCAATGGACCATATATACTTTTAAAATATATTATTAAATAGTGTAGGGGTAAAAGGTCATTTCCAAAGTTTGATATCGTTACTGCAATTTCGGTCAAAGTTCGGATATATTTCGAACCTTTTTCCCAAAATTAAAACACGAGAAAAGTGTTTTTTTTCTTGAGATCCACAAATAAATATGGATAGTTTAGTTAAATTATCTTTGTAGTAGTTAAATTTTATTTTTTTTCCTTTACTTAAGATAAAAAGTATGTAATATTTGAATTATTTTTAGACTTATATGTACTATTAGAGCTGTCAAAACGGGCCAGCTCAACTCTACCCCGCCCAAGTCTCACGGGCCAAAGAATTTGATGGGCTGGGGCGGGCCGGCCCTTCATTTCAAAGGGCTGTAAAATGGTCAACTCGGCCCAACCCTAGAAGGGTCAAGGGTTGGGGCGGACCGGCCCCTTTTTTTTTAATATTAAATCAATGTCACAAACAGTAACATTGTTTCAATAATTCTAAATAAAATCTAGCAATAAATATTTAAAGAAAAAATAATAATCTCTTAAGTAAATAATATCTGAAAAACAAACTAATAAACTAAAGAACACTTCTGACTAAAACTTTAGTTAGCAATACATAATTACTTAAAGTATTTTGTTAAATGAAATCTAGAAACTAATTAATTGTTCAAGCCATAAAACATTCTATCACATATAATATAAAATAGTGTTTACTAACCAAGTCTTATATTCAAAACTAAATAATAAAGAAATTCATTAGATAAGCTCCTTAGAAAAACTTCACAAACACTTATTTAGGTTTCTAGTTTTTTATTCTTATTTTTTTAGTATTTATTTTAATTAAAATTAAATAATTTGGCCCATGGGCCGACCCCGACCCGGCCCCGATCAAGTCTCAAGGGCTAAGGGCCTAAAAGGGTTGGGCTTATAAGCCCCGAAAATCCTATCCCAATCCTACCCCAATAACGAATTGAATCGGGCCGGCCCCATGGGCTAAGCCCTTTTTGACGGCTCTATGTACTATCAAATATGACACGCTTAACATAATATAATACATTAGTAAAGTGGGAGAAAAAATAATAATTACAAATAGATAATTTTGTTTCTAATAATTTGAAAAATCTATATATGTTATTCATAGTAAAAGTTTAATACTTTTTGGGAAACCGTACAAAAAGTTTGTTACAAAATTGCTTTTAGTTATCTTTTTGTCAGCATTTTTTTTTATACTAATAGAAACTAACGTACTTATGCCATTTATTATTGAAACAAAAACAGAAAATATTTCACCACAGAAAATCATAATTTGGAAATAGGGTTTGTGGTCCAAATTTCGACGGATTTAGAAATTGAATTTTATTTTTTCACCGGATGGATTTGGAGTGTATTAATCTTTTTTTTGTTTTAGATTTTAAATTGAAAAGGATTGGAGTAATGAACTTATAATCTAATGATAAAGGAGAGTCACCTCAATTTAGAATGTCGAACATCAATTGAATTGAAAATCAAATTCTAAAGTGACTTCGGAATAGGTTCAAAAGCTTTGATTGAAAACCATTTCTATCTAGTGTCAATTGATCCTAGCACGACTCAAAATTCATGATACGAAAATCAAAATTAGTTTGATACGAAAATCCAAATTAGAATAATGAAAAAAATGACATCGTGTTGTAGTTTTCTGTTTTTATGATTTTCTCATAAAAAAAGTTCAGTAATTCTTTCAAAGTGAATCTCGACAGAAGTTCAATTTTAACAAAGTTGTTTTAACTGCAGAAATTTTTTATCGATCTCAAGTTAATATATAATCTAATCCACGATTAAATATACATAAATATTTGATAATTTCTTAATACTCCTTCTGTCCCTAATTACTTGTCCATATTTATTTTTTTAGTTGTCCCTAATTACTTGTTCATTTTGACAAATCAAGAAATGACAAAAAAAATTTACATATTATACCCTCAATTAATTACTTTGAAAAATATAGAACTTTTTGAAAATCTTCAGTTTTTAATTCATCTATTTCATAATTAATTGGGGTAAAATGATAAACTCATTATGTCAATTATTGTTTTCTTTATAGGTGTGTCAATTTAAAAATTGACAAGTAATTAAGGACAAAGAATACATATATAAGATCTATAAAATAATATTGGATTCACATTGACCCATCGATGAGACTCTAGATCTATGTTGGTTCAATTTAATGGAGTGCAAAGTTTTTTTAAGGGGATATTTTTCATATAATATTTTTAAAAATAATTTTTTTTAAAATTTATCTATATAGTACTACTTTTTCAATAAAAGATTTTAACTCTGAATTGGTTTATTGTTATCATTATTTTACAATTTTAACACTATTAATTTTGAATATTATTTTTATAATAATAAGACCAACAAAAAATCACCGACACGCCTAATTAATGCTTAAGCATGTGATTAGGAATCTAATTGTGACTCTTGTGCTTACGCATTAATGCTTTAATTCGACCACTCTTATTTTCTCTCTCAAAAAGTATTTTATTTTTACTTGTTATTTTTAATATATCAAAAAGATTATTTTTTTTCTATTGTACCGTGACTATCGTCAACATTACTTGTTTCGTCGCAAATCATTTTTCAAGATCTAAAACTATGTATCAATTAATATGAATATTATAGTAAAATACTCATATTAATAATTATTTCTTACAAAGTGCAAGTCCAAAGTGGACAAGTAAAAACGAATAGAGGTCAAATATTATACTTTTTGCCAAGATTTAGAAGAACTGTGGGCTTTAAATACCAAAAATTGTGGTAGAGGGTACTAGTACTCGTCTATCCTTAACCATATCAGTCTCAGGTTCGAGCTCTGTAGATGAAGTTACCTCATTTAAGGAATGTGTGTGACTTTTTCGGACGCAAATCTGGATTTAATCAAGCGTCAAGCAAGTAGAAACCCAAATGTAAAACTGCATACTGATTACAACTGCATGAGTTATATAGCAGATTATTGGCTTTGCTTACAATTATTAAGTGTATAGTAAGTAATAAGTATTCCTTCATTCTACGTCTGCATAAGCTTTGAGAAATTGTTCGATTATGAGCCTTTCGTCTGAGGTAAGATCAGGGTCATCACCGGTGAGCCTCTTTCGTACTGCTGCACTAGTGATGTTGTCTGGGTTTTCGTCAAGAACCTGTTGGGACGTCCAAGTTGAACGTTAGAGGTAAGAGATGATAACCGTGAAGCCAAAGAATCGTTACTCTAGATTCAGGGTAAAAATTAGACATAAAGGCTAAACGCCCTCATCGTTGCAACATATGTATATGGTCAGTGATTCGCGTTAATGTATTGTTCCTCGGAAGAAGGAATAACTAGGACGAAACAGAGGAAGACATAGAACCTTTCTCTCCAAACCACGAAAAGTCAGTTTCTTACCTCTACATAGTTGTTGACATGTCCATCTTTGTTGGGAGAAGTGATCGGCTCAAACTCGTTGCATATCCATTCACCGTCAACAATGTACTTGTATTCATATTTTCCTTCCTGTAAATAAAGACGACATTAGGATGAC